TAATTATTATTATAGTAATAACAATAAAGGAATACAAATTATAAAATTAATACAATAAATAAATACATTTCTATAAGCCCCAATATGTATGTTATTTAAGTCTGTTACAATTCTCGTATATACATAAATGCCTGCTCCGGTAGGGACTATCAAGGTTCATCAAGAATCATGGTCAAAAGGAGATACATAGGTACATATACATATATACTACGTACGTAGTATGAGACATGTTTTAATTTTCGTTTCTTTTTATTTCATTATAACATTTATAACGAAGAAAATTTCCTAGGAAATGGTAGTTCAAGTTAAGCGCCCTTAAGTCTTTCTTTGGAAGCATTTAAGCTCCCAAAGACAAGATATAAACTGAAATTCTAGCGAAACTTTTCTTTTCGCTACAAACAGTATAAAAAATACATACATATGTATGTACGTTGATGGGAATATAAGATATCCTGTATTCAACAAAGACTTTTACATTTTATTTCCTGGAATTCCCCTTGGCATATACATATGTATGTAGGTATATATTAATATGCATATTTGTCAAAGTATATATGTATGTGTAAACTCAACCAGATAGCGTTGCTCATTGTGTGCGCTGAAGGACAGTTGAGCGCATTAACTTTCAATTAGCCAATTAGTAGCTGATTGTGGATCTCAGAGAGCATGCAACATTATGAAAGGGGGCTGTGCTCCTTTTTAAAGGACTTTAGTCATGTGGCACGTGCCTGGCGAGTTGCATGCAGCTTCGCTGCGCTGCGTAAGCCGCTTGAAGCTCTGGCTGCTGCTGTTGCCGCCCCATCCGCTGCTGCAGCTAAGGCTGCTCTACACCGTTAGTTTGCTGAGCTACCTGGCTTTCATCCTGCATTGGCGATTTAGCTTCAACTACGGCGTTGTCTACAATCGCAATGATAGTTTTTCGCGTGTTGTCGACTTGCTGAACTTTGTCACGCTGACCGCCGCCCACCTGGTCGTCGCAATGGAGCTGATCTGGAGGGATCGCAGCGAGCAGATTGAGCAGCAGCTGGAGCGAGTGCGCTACGTGCTCCGAGTGCAGTTCGGCCAGAAGGTGAACATGCTGCGAGTGCATCGCTACTGCCGGATCATCAACTCAATATTGCTGATATGCTGCCTAATGCTGCTGCTGATGACCATTTACAATAATCTGGTCACCAACATGTCGCGGCTGCTCGTCTACGCCTTCTACTCGGAAGTTATTCTGCTGTTGCGCCTCAGCGAATTTTCTGTGTTCGCGGTGCTGATCTTGGTCTTCTACATGGAGCTGACTGAGGTTAGCCGCCGGCTGATCCTGGAGCTGGACAAGACACGCTATGAGGTCTGGTCTCTGCGCCGCCTGTCGCTGGAGCGCTTGTACGTGCTGCAGCACCTGCACGGGCTGCTGTGGAACACAGTGCGGCTCATCGAACGCAATTTCGCGCTGAGCCTGATAGTTGTGCTGATCAAGTACTTTGTGGACATCTCCGTCCTGCCCTACTGGATGTTTGTCAACAACTATAACCATGTGGATATTTCCACTACATACTGTGGGTGAGCACTCCCAATGGGACTGCCAGTCCTAACTCATTCCTGCTTGCAGATTGCGCAACTGAGGAGTCCTGCAAGCTGCTGCTGACCTTTCTGCCCAGCTACATCTGCACGAGATGCGAACAGGTGCAGCGCCAGCTGCGCTCCACTGTGCACGGAGTCGCCACAGATCGGCATAATGCCCAGCTGAACACAGCTCTATACCGCATCTCGGCGCAGCTGGGCCAGGAGTCCTTCAGGTTCAGTGCTGGCGGCTTGATGGTAATCAATAATGAGTCTCTGGGCAAGGTGAGTGTATCGACTTACCAAATCAATTTCAAGGCCGCTTTCGCTATTTCCGTTTCGATTACAGTTTATCTTTGGCATGATAGGCTACATAATCATTTGCATACAATTTCGCCTGGCCCTAATCGACAACAGCCCCGAGGAAGTCGCTCAGAGCTTCGTTACAGTCGCAATGCGACGCTAAATCAAATTTCTTTGAATTGCGGATCTCTTGTGTTTTCCGGGAAGAGCGCTAAATTCAGAAACGCTTGCCTTACTCCTGCCAATGGCAGTGCGGACGTAGATACATATGTATATACTTACATACATATATATTTATTCAATTAATGAAATTGTTTTTCAATAGCAAATGGATTCAGTTACATTTTGTCTGTAATCAACTGGCAGACAGTCCAACTAATTAGTGATGAATACGAAGGTTACTTGAATTTCATAATACTTGATTTCAAATACATTCAGGGGCCACATTCAGTTGCATTAATTAGGAACATAATTCGCATGCAAATTAATTAATTTGACCAACTTTTTCATAGCTCACTGTGCTTGGCGTTTCGAGCATCCAATTGCCACGCATGGTCGGCGATTATACTTCATGAGTCCACTACCAACAGTTGCCATAATGGGGCCGGGCTACACATGTGCGCACGAGCTGACTTTGGGCCGGCCTCGGCCAATTGCGGATTCGTACATTGAGTCAGGACTAATGCAGCAACTCATAAAACTTGAGAGACGTTCATTAACTGCGAGAGAGATTTTCACAGGGCTCGCCTTAATTTTCTTGAAACTTTTCACTTAGCTTCTCGACTTGTCAACTCTGTAATTAGGGGTCGAGCTGGCCTCCACCGAGGGCCCTCATTATGCTTCAGCTGTTTTGGCTGTCATATGCAACATGATAAAGCTCTTGGCCAGTTGCTTTCACCGAATGCTGAATGAATTCAAAATTCTGACATTTTCCTAATAAGCCAATTTCAGAGCCAAAAACTTTGGATTACTGGCGTCAATATTTCATTTCTCTGACACTGCATTTATCAACGCTTGCCTGCAGCATCGATGCCACTGACAGCGAGCTGTCCTCAGAAGTGCCCCAGTGCCTGAGGAACGACAGATAATGGTAATAGCCAAGGGTTTGTGGGGCTCAGCCACTAGCGAGCAACTGCAACTGCACTTCGATCGGCAGGTGCTAAAATATTGAGCTGGTTAATTACGGTGCGTCCAATTGTTTGGCAAGTTGTCACTTCCAGGCGGTTGCCTGACATGCGAGAGTTAAAGCTGAGAAGCTGCTGAGGTAAGCAGCCGAATCGAACTGGCTCATGGCATGTAGTTCTTTTCATGCCGCAACGCTTTGGCTCAATGGCAAATCATAAAGAGCAAGCCATAATCGTCTCGTAAAAATCAGACGCGCACGCACACTAATGCAATGGCCATACATGTAGCTATCGCCCCCCCCCCCCCTCTCTCTCTCTCTCTCTTACTGCTCTCTATCTAACACATTCTTTCTGAATTGGGGTTGCGTTGTGCGTGCTATGACATAGACAATGGCATCGTCTATGGCAGTGCCAGCGACAGTGACGGCTGACGGCGCGACGTCAAGGCTTTTACTGTTACTCACACACACACAAACACACACATTTACACAGTGAATCGTATACTTGCATATTCAGAAGCACTTTTATAGCGACACGTAGTCAGCCACGCTCTGAATTGCAGGAAGCTGGCTTCCCTCTCTCTCTCACCCTCTGTCCCTCTCTTTCTGCTTCTCTATCTATCTCTGCGCACGTGTATGTGTGTGTGTGTGTAGTTATTACTTTTATGAAGCATGTGATTACGTTTTATTTTTAATGCTTTTAGTAAAATGAGGTTAGTACACACTTGGTTAGCGACAAATTACATTTTTTTTTGCTTGCCAGCCTCCTGCCACGCCTCGGCGTCTGTGTGTGTGTGTGTGTATTGCATTTACGCTAGGAATTTAGCAGATTATTGAATTTTTGGTATTTACAGCTTAAAGCCTGGCTACCAATTGGCCCAGCTAACACGATATAAACTCGAATGCAGCCGACTGAGTCGCATTGCCTAAATATCCTTATCACAGTAATTTACTATCGACAATGCACTATAAAATGAAACTGTTTATGGGTCTCTCTTTCGCTCACACTTGATTGTTGTTGTCATTACGTAAAATGCTTAAACGGTCACTGCCAGGCACGAGCCATGCGCACAATTAACTTCCGCTTCCGGCATTGATTGAAGCCAGCGAGTGCTGAATCAACTATGTTGCATGCACAATGCACAATGCACCCACACACCCACACACACACACATATACAGTGATGTACAACCAACCCACAGACACACACACACACACACACACAGTTAAATCATGCACTTGTTGTTAACTGTTTGCATATTAATGACAAATAACCCAACATCAACGCGGCTCTCGCCCTCCACTTGCCTCGCGCACTAATCGGAGTTTATGTGTGTGTGCGTGTGTGTGGGCGTTAAATGTTAGATAATATTGGGATGGCATTTCAGTGGTGTGTGGCAAGTGGTGCTGCCCGCCCCCAACTGAACTAATTTGCGACAAACGACAACAGTGGAGCGCTTGACTCTGTGTGACTCTTTCAAAGTCCTCGCGATTTATGCGACAGTTAAGTGCCAGGCAAAAGGACCTTCAAGTTAAGTACTTCGATTGTATCTGTGTGTGTGTGTACATATGTTAGATAATAAAATAATTGCTCTCTTAAGCATTCTATATTGATTTAATTCGCAATGAGTAAATAAGATATGAATTTATTAAGAACATAAACTGGGGCAGGCTTAAAAGGCTCTTACGAATTTCAAGCAGTTTTAATACAGTTATCTCGAGCTAATTAAATTGATAGGAAGAGCTATCGAAATTTGTTATGAAATGCCTTGTTAGGAGATCATTATGTAGTGTAGCTCAGCGATTTCTTGGTAGATACGCGATTTCAATTAGATTGCTGCTAATTTAGCGTGATTTGTGCGTTTCCCTCGAGAATGTCCTGTGAACAAAGCGTAATGAATGGCACTGAGAATTGGGTCAGATGGGAGATGAGCCAGCTCTCATGTCCATGCTCGTGTGCACTGAGAACAATTGCCTTGGCATATTTATAGATTTATGCTCAATAAGCAGCACATGAAACCCACTTTTCTTGTTCCTGCTGGAGTGTTTGTTGTTGCCGTTGTTGTTGTACTTGTACTACTTGTTTTTCCACTACTGTTGTTTATATGTCCACAGCAGAGCCACAAACTCAGTCAGCATTTGCAGGATTTTATTTGTGCGCCTTTTACAGCCTTTTACTCCCAACGCAGCCAGCCAAGCAGCCAGCTCTCAATACACAGCAGTCAACAACAACAAGAACAACAACAAGAACAACCACAGCTACTTTGGTCGACTGCCAGCAGTAGAAATGTGTGCAAATAATAAAAATCTTGGGCAATATTTCAGTTTTGTGCTTTACGGCCGGTGATGTCTTAGCTGTGCCGGGCCGGGCCGGATCGTGCCGTGCTGCCGCCGGCTTAGCTACCCTTCCAGTTGATGTCATAAATTATAAACAAAATGGTCGAGCTGGAGCTCAAAGCTCCAGCTCCAGCAGCACCTGATTTGTTTATTTGTGGAGCATTTTTCAAATTTACGACAGTTGACAACGCACATTTGGGCGAGCTCTTGCTGCTTGCTGTCAAGCGGACAGCTGCCGGGACAGTTTTTAATGCGACTGTATTGGCTGTTCGACTGCTGGAATCCTTTGGCCAAACAGCTTCTGCCATTGACTGGTTTCCAATTTGGCCAAATATGTATATAATGCTGCAGGCGAAACAAACTCGCTCAGCTCGGCACACGTGCTGCTCTGACTTCAGTTTGTATTTACGTAACTCATTCGAACAGCGAGTGCACATCTAATTGCAGCGCAAACATTTACCGATGCTCAGCTGAAATGTCCTTTAAAACACAAAGCAACAAACAAAAACAAAAGGACAAAAAAATGCCTGCACATCCAGCAGCTGCTGCCGCCGTCAGAGCACGTACTTAATTATTTGCCAAGTAATTGTGTGTACAGCAAGCAATGCCAGCATGTTGCATGTCGCATACTAATACTGACGCCATCAACATTTGCATTGACACATGCAACATGCTGCTGCAACATGGCCATCACTCAAAACTGTGTTGCTGTTTTCACATGCTTTCAATTTGCATTCGAGTAACAGCAAAAACATCCTTGCATACATTTTGTTTCTTTTCGAGTGTGCAAATTTACTCAGAATTGTTAAACAAATGTGAAGTGACGAGAATTCAACTGATTTTAAAAGGCTAGACTATCGGAAATTGCAAAAAAGGCGAAAGAAATTATTTCATTTTGTAAATATTCCAATATTAAATTGTGTAGGTTGCTTTCTGTCATATTCATTTGGTAAAATAATTCAATAAAAAAATGCATAATATTATATTAAATAGAATTATATTTAAGTAGAAAAGGACAATATGTTCTGTGCTTTTAAATTTAAAAAATGTTAAACACAAAACTTTTGTATGCAGTAAATTGATTAAAAATAAAGTGTCCCATATAAATAAAAAATAAAAAATGATATTAAATTAAAGTAAAACAGATTGAAAATAAATAAAAAAAATAAATAAAGAAATATATATATAATTAAAGTATTNTATTTGAGAACACAATTAACGCAATTAACGTGGAGATTTGTGACCTAGTTTCAAAATTATCACATATTAAAAATTTACCTTAATACCTTCTAGACGTCAGCAGAGAAACGTGAAAGGTTGGTAAACGCACGCAGTCAAAAATTGAAAAAAAACTAAATTAATTTTATATAATATTTAAAATTTAAATTTAAAATATTGAATATTATAAATACAAAGTATTCATATAATAAACATCATGTGTATTTGAGAACACAATTAACGCAATTAACGTGGAGATTTGTGACCTAGTTTCAAAATTATCACATATTAAAAATTTACCTTAATACCTTCTAGACATAACATTGAAACTTATATGGGGTTATTGGCATTTAGTTAAGACCATATAGGGTGAATTTTTGTTCTTATTTTGCGCTTTTGAATATTCTACAGACCGCAAAGGTTATTGGTTATGCTCTACATATCAATCAAGCAATGCAAGAAGAGTGATCTTAACTACCAGCAAC